ACGGTAACTCTCATTCTCTCCTTATCTGTACCATGTCTTAACTCCACCTTTTCATCTAGACGCTCGTCACACTACATCTTGGATATAATCGAATAAGAGATATTGGAGCACAATCTTTGGCTAATGCATTACGACACAACACAGTAACTCTTTTTCACTCTTTATTTGTGCCAAGTCTTTACCTCTACGTTTTGATCTAGACACTTACAACACTATACCTGCAGAATAATGAAATCGGAGCGGTTGGAGCACAATATTTGATTGATGCGTTACAACACAATACAGTAACCCTATAGTTTATCTTTCTCTGTACTATGTCTTTGTGTTCATTATTTTATTTAGGCGCTCACCATATTAGTAGTATGGAAGAATGCAATCGAGACTGATGCAGTTCATGTAATCGATGACTTACTTAAACGAAATGAAAGGGGAATAAAACCATGAATGGTTATGTTGAATGTATTTAGATAATGAATAAATTACTGGTGATAATGATATGAGTATTTCTTTTTTGTGATATAATTTTGACAGAAAAATTAAATAAAGCTGCTTGTTTTCAAACTTAATCCATGTTGTGATGATAATGGTTGTTTAGAATTTTTGGTATTTGGTGAGAGGGATGATGGTGCTTTTAAAAAAGAGAGCTTTTGAAGAACTATATTGTGAGCGTGAAGCGTTTGCAAAGCTAAGGTGATATGGTCTATAACAATATTAAAACTCTAAGAGTTTCTCCTCAGTGTGACTGAGCTAGAAAACGTTTTGTATGATAGTCGTAGAGCTTTGAACGATAAAAGAATCTCCATGATAATAGTAAAACAATGAGACGTTCTTTGCGATAATGATGGAACAAAGGGTCCTATCCGATTGTACTGGACCAGAAAATTTTTTCTCTAATAATACGAAATCATAAAGTAAGCAGTATGAATTGAAGTTGAACTTAGAACGATCCTGTGTTCAATACTGTTGAACAAATACGACTGTTTTAGTTTTGCATAACTTCTCAAGACTTTGTAGTTAAATAGCTGTATCATCGACAATAAATCCAGAGAAAAAATTGAACATCTGAGCAAAAGATTCCATAATTCATTTATCAAAAGCATCGAATAGAAAGCAAAGTAAGTATAACAATTAACATAACTCAAAAGGATATGTTCGAAAATGAAGTCACTCTTTTCATTTTTGTTTATCGAAATCCACGATTTCCGTTCAGGTTAGTTTTATCAACCACATACCACTATCATAATTTGAGACAATGATCTTATATTCAAATTTAGTTCTTTGGTAAAACAATTATACTTAAAAAGAATTTGATTCTTTTATTATTATAATGTATTTATTTCTTTATCAATATTAAAATAAAAAACAATCGATTTTCTTTCAAAATAATTTGTAATGAATTCAATTTTGCATGGTTTGTATTTTTCATAAATCAGCTTTTGACTGATTACCATACTTAAACATTACATCCCAGAATGTTGCCTATAGAAATATATATTTCATTATCATTGTATAAAATCATATCTCTAACTTACACGATTCGAAGGGAAATGTCGAGCAGATATTTCAAGAGCATAAAAATATGGAACGACTGCCAGAGATATTGGTGTCATTGTTAATATTATAATATTCCATAGTGTTCCCTTTGAATGTGGAAAAACAATACGAAGGAACACTAAGCAAAAAAAAACAAGATAAGAAATATCAAAATAAATAAATATATAAACATACTTCCAACTAAACCAAACCAAACAATGAATATTACAGAGCAAAATCCAAATACAATACTCATACAATATTCATGAAGTATAGCTGAAAAAATGACTACACAAATTGCTGATAATTTTTTATTACCGGAGAATAACTAAAAGCAAAGAAATTAAAAGATGATGTCACAAATTAAAATTTCAAATAACTTTGATAAGATCTTTATAAACATAAACATGAAGCCAATCATGTACAACAATATTCCATGATCGCCAAAATGTTCCAGATGATGTTGCATTCCACCAATCCTAGAAATATAAAATTATTTTTGAACAATTAATTATTCTCTTATTCTACCTGATAAAATGTTCGATCAGCAAACCGAAGTAATTCTGCAAATCCATTCAACCAACAATGAAAAAAACCATAAAAACCTTAAATAAAACAAAAACAAATATATATCTATGCAAATAAATTATACAAATATTTTTACCGATTACAAAAAACAGAACTCCTGGAAGCATTAAATCAAATATAGATGTTATTACAGATGGATATGTTAGTTTAGTATCTGTAAAACATCGAGCAAACACTGGCATCCAATAATATGCGATAACATGATAAAGTAGAATGGTACCAATTAGAACTTGACCAAACATTTGAAAAACAATATTCCATCGAATAGTCGATGTTCGAGGATAAACATCTCGAAAAACTAATGTAGGTGCATAGAGAAAATATAAATATTGATTAAAATGACTAAATTCAGACGATAATTGAGAATCTAAATTTGAAAAAAAATATTCTTTCAACTGAAATCGTAGTGAAAATAAAATATTGTAACAAACCAGTTGATTTGTTTGATGGAGAAATTATTTTTCCAGCATTTTCACGTACAAATGAATGTATTTTCAAGATTTG